ATTGAGGAGGACAGAATGTCATCAGCAGTTCTACACAGCCAGAACTTGTATTCTAACCTTGGAATTCTGTAGCTGAGATGATGTCTGGTTATAAAAAAAAATTTAAAAAAAAAGTCCAGAACAACATAAAATATTTTTCAGATTATGCTTTTAAAAATAATGATTAACCTTTGTATTTTTTTTTATTTGAACATGAACCCTTAAAAGGGTTAAATTGTTCACAGACAACAGTAAACATTGAAAATAGATCTTTTGACTTAAAACAGAATTATTACGTAGGTTTTTCCACACCCACCAAAGTGAGAAGTGAATGTTCCATCACTGTCATGGACTCACAACTTGTGGCCACACCACTGTAACAGGAACAGGATAAGGTAAGAGGCAGCAAATAAAACTAATGTTTAACCTAATAGAAACAGCAAAATTATGACTGATTTATTAAGAAAGAGTTGCATTTTATTTCCCTCTTCATTAAATTCTTTCTCTGGTATTTTCCCCTTCCTAGATCCACATTCCATTTAATGATATATATATATTATCCTGTTTCTTGTCCCATTCAGAAGGACACCTACAGCACACATTCTGTTTCCACTTATTAGGGGTTTGTACTTATCTGGCCAAGCTTTTCCATTCGGAAGCAAGAGGAACCAGCTGGAAATTCAAACAACAGACCCAAAGCAAACCACAAATGAGTCCAGCCCAATGGAAGCACCTGCAGTGATTTAACATAACAATCTTGAGCCTGCCAAGAATTTTTAAAGTCCATCCTTTGTATGTCTCTTTTTTTTTTTTTCTTGTAAAATGACATTTCAGAGTAGGGATTTATTTACTGTGTTTGGTAACTTAACCTCCATAATAATGTATAAATGCAGATTTCTTCTCAGAAAGCCCCGCTAGAACCATTTTAAAGTCTCCCACGTCACACAAAGCCCGTGAACTTCTCCTGGAGACATTTGCTCTGAGGAGCAGTTGAGGAAAACACTGCCTTCACCAGGTTCCTTCTGCCCTTGGAGGCACCCAAAGCTTGGATGTGGATGTATAAGCATTGAGTAAATGCATCAGCTTGATTTTAATATGCTTTAGATTATTATTGAAGCTTACAGGAGACCAGCAGTAAGTTTTTGAGCCTTTTCTAGCAGCCTCTGCCACACTGAAATAAACATGTTTAATATCTGCACATTACATTATTCCATCATTTCATGCTGTATGAGTCTTACTGATATTTACCCTGTGGCTGTTAATAAAAATAGGTGTTTTTTCCTTTTGGCCAGTATGTTCTTGCCCCATCCTCTGCAGCTCACTGGGTTTACTGGTGCACCAGAAACCTCAACTACATTAAAATTTTCCAAGTTTCATGAAGGAATCAGTTGTGATCCACTTAGTCTCAAGTGATTTATTTATTTTGGCCGGGGTACATCTGCAGTTTATCACCCAGTTCTGTCCATCCTCATCCACTCCCCACCCTGCAGCTCAATAAATGTCTCATTTAAAGTGCTCCAGACACTTGTAAAACAAAAAAAAAAAAGTGTGGGTATTTTAAGGAAAGATTAACATAGAGCCAACTTTCATAACTAGGGACAGTGACCATTTTGCAAACACCCTTCCACTGGATGCCTTCTTATGGCTCTGATCCCTCCAAGTCTTAAATTTATATGCCACTTTATACAGAAGATTAAACTGAGCTCTTTACATAGTTTTGTCATGAAGTTACATGAACTCATTATTTTATCTGTTACGTTTTTTTAAAGGGCAACCCATTGCACAAACCTGGCTCTAGGAAAGCAACTCAGGAGGGCACTTACCTCAAAATAAAATAAAAAAACTCCAGCCTGACAGTGATTTCTTTCCCATCACTGCAGACAGGGACAATGCTGATGAGAAATTGTAGCTGTGACTGTTCCAGGAAAGCTCCCCAGCAGTGCTCCAGCCACACCACCATGGCCAGGTAGGATGGTTTCTTTGAACTGATAAACCTATTTTAGCAGGATATATAATCTCCTAACTTTCTAAAGAAGCCTTAGGAGTGTACATTAAAATAGCACGATTTTAAACCAAATCCTTGTATGTTTTACTTGGTTTTCTCCCCCTGTTCTTGCCATGTTTAGCCCTACTTTAATGTCGTTCCCTGCCATACCTCTTGTGATGGCTTTCAGATGCTGCTGGATGTCCTGAGCTGCAATAACCCGAGTATGGCTCACTGTTCTTCAGGAAACTCGTTTGGATGAGCTTGGTGATCAAGGTGGGTGTCATCTTTGACTGGGAGGAGGGATTTTACAGGAGGAGTAAGAAGATGGGCTGATGACATCAAACAAACCACCCAGCTGGTCCCATCTGACGTTCTTGGTGGGGTACCTGTGTCCCTCAGCCTATTTTAGGGCAGCACCAGCCCTCTTTCCTCTTTCTCCTGGTTTCCTGAGGGCTCTGTGCTGCTCTGCTCCCTGATGTCCCAGCACTCTGTGTTTCCTGGGAGTGGAAGATGGACTCAAGCACGAGAGGTAGGTGCAAGTAGGGCAGAGGACTGAACAATTATCAGAGGAGATTTTTATTTTCTAGGAGAATTATTTGGGTATGATAGTAATTAAAATGTTTGTGTATATGCAGCCTGTATGTCATGCTCATACTTTTCTCTTTTGAGGGATAAACTTCTAAGCCATTTGAATTATGTTTTTTTTATTGCTGTGAAATCTGAAATTAGTGAAGAACAGTTGCTATTTTTTTTTTTTTGCAGTTACAATAGAAAACAACAGGAGCAGAATAATAAAGAAAATACTTTGGTCTGTGATTCTTTTTTTTTGTTGTTTAATTGCAATGTCCTTGGTCAAATATTGAATTAGAGCTGTAATAGTTTCTGGGAGCTGTGGATTTGGGTTTTTTTGGCAGTTGAAACAACCTCAGTTCACTTCACCTGATGCCTTAAGCCTGGGATCTGCTGAAATGAAGTCTGGGTTCTTCTGAAATCGTTATATATATAAGTGCTACAAGATTGTATTAATTAAGATTGCATTTCCATCTGCTTAAAGGAGGATTATTCCCTTTAACAAAGTCTTCCTCTTGAAGGAGTTACCTTTGTATTTTATACCACTGAGCTGCTTTCTCTGTCCCCAGCTCCCCAGGAAACAGGAATATTTCGGGTCATTGGGGCAGGTGATGATGCCACATGGGGGACTCTGTATACTCTTACCTCCTGAATACACAGGCCTGCTTGCTGTAGCATTTGAGAATCTGCAAATATGTCTTTTTAAGTATTTGCACGGTGCCTTTGAAGCAAAGGTGCTTTCTTGAGGAGGTAAATATGCTCTGGCAGGGGGTGTTGAGCTGGGGCTGAGGTGTGCGAGGCAGGGGGATGCTCCTGAGGTTTGACAGAGGGAAGGAATTAGGAGATGGACCTGAAGCACTTGTTGCTCGTTTTTTGCCATAAATGAGGGCATTTGGGTTGGAAAACCCTGAACTGGGGGGAGATTTATAACCGTGGTAACTTGTAAGAGCTGGGCAAGTATCACGAGGTGTAAAAGAACGTGTGTCAGGGGTTCCCTTTAGCTGAGGCAGCAGCCAGGGGCGTTGGAGAAACAATATCAAGGGGAGGGAAAATCTTTTTTTAGAGCGATATTCAACCTCCTGCCATACGGGGGCACTGCTCGGCTGAGCAAGGGACGTGCAGCTCCTGCTGGTGCCTGCAGAGTGCAGCTTCTGCCCGCACAACTCCACGGCTCGCCTGGAAACTTCTGAAAATAGCCCGAATATCGAGGGAATAGTAGAAAACAACAGCTTGTTTTTCATCCCGTATTAGTTCATACCTCTCTGAGGCAAATCCCCCACCTGACTCTTCAGGGTGGTCAAATGAAACGTGGGCAGGTTTGAGTTTGCAGGGGTGAGCGAGTTGGCACAGAAAGTAGTTTCTTTTCTTTGATGTGAAGAGAAAAATCGACAGAAATCGTAAATTATAAGGAATTTACAAGAGAAATGGTAAATTTTACAGTATTTATAAGAGATAGTGCTCTTCCCTTTGTGTGTGCAATGGGAGTGAAGGGGGCTGAAGAGACACAGGTTCTGGTTTAAAAAGGAGGACCTAAAGGTGTGATTTTTTTTTAAGCCTTTTCAGGCATTTCTGTGGACTCTGAGCATTGAATGCTGTGTTCTTAACAAGAGTTGAGCAGAACTAAATTCAAAAGCACTCTGCTCGTGTGGGATAACTTAGATACCTGTTCCCAAAGCTGAATTAGCACCACTTGTAACACTACAAGTGACTTTGACCTGTGTTTTCAGTCCGTGTGAAAAGAAATGTGAGTGAACATGATGTGTGCAGCACAAAGCCTCCAGGCGTGTGTGCTTGCTTTCTGTCAGCTCAGTTTGGGGGATTTTGAGTTAAAATGGTTTGTGTTCTGGCAAGCTCTCCCCATATCCCTTTTGAGGGCTGAGCACCGCTCAGGGCTCCTCTTGTGAGGCCACGCAGATCTTCGTTGGTTGTGAAGAGCCAAAGGTCTGATTTTAAATGGTTAAGATGGGAATTGTGTTACATTCCAAGGAATACAAGGTGTGAAATGACCCAAGGCCCTGAATTACTGGAGTGATTGCAAGGCAAAGTGTGATTGATCTGGGGTGTGTCAGGTGGCGGCACAAAATCAGTCAGACAAGGTGAATCTGGAACTGTTCAAATCCTTTGTTGAAAAGCTACTTGCGATTGTTTAGATTAAAATAGCTATTAAATAGTTCCTTGGGTTTTCGTGCTGGGTGTGCTTTCTTTTACCTTAGTGCGTTAATTTTAAAAAAGCATTTTGGAGTAAGAGAAGCAAAGCGAGGCAGTGACTCACAGAGCCTCTCTGAGGAGGAGCAGAGCCCTGGGAGCCTCCAGGGTGCTGGTGCTGCCACGCAGAAAGGTCCAGGTGGTGGAGAAGGACAGGAGGATGTCATGGAACAGTCAGAAAAAAGACAGGAGCTGCTGGCCTGCCCGAACTTGTCAATAATTAAAGCATCTTAGCCATGGAAACCTGTTCATTTTTGCTCTCTAGGAAACTCCAGGGGAAGTGTTTGCAGCTTTGTTAGGAGCTGGGTGTTGGCACAGGCTGAGCTTGCAGCAGTGCTGAGCGTGGTGGACAGCACTCTGGAAATAAAGCAGCAGCCACAGGCCGGAGCTGTTCCCTCTCTCTCCCCTCTGGCATCATGCTTTGCATTTTTCCCTTTAATTTCGAAGCAAAACTATAAATAGGAGTTGGGAACTGTGTGGATGTGGTGATGGATATGGGGTTTGTTTGCTGTTCTCACCCACTCTCCTTAAAAAGGAGGGTTAAGCTTAAATTAAGAGCTAATGATGGAGCAGTTTGTCATCCCGTGCCATGTCCTTGATCCATTTCCAGCGTGTTGGCTCCATCCTCTGGACAAATATCCCTGGTTTCAGCAGGGCTGGGTCTAGCCCTTTGCGTGGATCTTTCACATTTTACCGTGAACACAAATACAATAGGCTCAAAATAAACTTATTTCTTCAAGCTGACTCCTTGGAATCCCTAAATGCCTACATTAATCTCTTATCTTCGCTTAGGAAAACATCTGTGCTGTTTTTTGGGGTATGTAGCAAGAGTTACACCTTGATATAGGTCCTCCTGATCCGAGGAGATAGTTCATATAAAATGAAGGATGAAAACAGCAATAAAAATTTTCTAAGGCTGATTAAAAGAATATGATTTATAGTCAGGACCCGGTTATAAATCTCATCAGCACTTGCTACAGTTATAGCTGTTGCTGCATTGTTGAAAGAAAGGTTAGTAAAGAATTAAGTATGTGGTGTTTAATTCATGTGGTTACTCACACAAGTTGCAACTGGCTTGAAAAATGCCATTGTTAGTAAAAGCAGGAGAATGGTGATACATATTTATAGTCATAAGGGTGTCTACCATGTAAAACTAAGTATAGTCCACCTTGGTTTGGGGTCTGAAATGTGTAGGACGTGTCAAAGTTTTGGCAGGGTAACAACAGCTGCTCCTGGTGGCAGGAATTTGCTCCAAGGCCTGGTACCAGTTCAGTGATTCAGCTTCAGCCTTGGGTTTATTTTACTGTGTTATAACTTCATACGGTGTGCCTGGCCTTGATGTGATTTTGGGTACTGTCCTAAGAGCCCCCCAGCCCCCCAGATTTAACCTTTCTGGGTTGTTTGTAAGCCTGTGGGTGGTGGGTGTGAAGAGCACTGGAGGACAAGCAGGAGTTTCTCTGTGGCACACCCCGATTTTTAACTCTGTCACTGGGCTGATCTTGATCCATAACTCCCAGCATATTATTCCCAGGACAGGTGATCCCCCATCCTTCTGCCTTTGGCTTCAGAGGTTCCACCCCACTTCTGAGAAAAACACCTATTATTAAATGTTTGGGGTTTTTTTTAATTGTTACTGCAGTTTTCAAGATACTAAAGTTGATTGTGTGTCCAGGCAAACATAAACACCGAGTCAGGGCAGGAATATCCAGTGTACCATGTTATCTATAGGCTTTTGTTTGCTGAATCTTCTCCCAGTGACTTCTTTCCTTTAGGTTTATACCTATTTTTTCCAATTCCAAACGATTGTTGGGTAGTTTCTGCTTGTGAAACCCTCAAGGAGATGTAATTCTGTCCCTGCCATGATTTGAAAAATGAGTAAAGCTCTTATATTTTCTTCCTGAACCTGCTTAGGTGTGATACATCTAGTTTTGAGAGCAGTGGACTGTGGCCAGCTGGTCTTGCCCAGCAATTTCTGCCTCTCACAGGGGTACAGTGCAAGGTGCTGATGGGCACCAGCAAATTCACAGCTCTAGGGAAGCTGTGCAGGGAAAATAATCCTCTCTCCATCTGCTTTGTGCTCTGAAAAGGGGTTGACTTGCCATGCCACAGAATTTTGAGGCTGATTTTTTTTTTCCCTGACCCTGGGAAGAATTTGAGGTTGTGAGGCTCTGGCTGAGCTGGAATAAACCCCAATTTCTTGGCTGGCTCTGCAGGGTTTGGGGATTTTTTGGCCTCTGCATTGGGATCCCTGGCCAGGGCTGGCCCCAACACCAGTGGCTCCTGTGCCTTGCTTACAGGCAAAAGGGAATGTGCTTTTAAGGATTGCAAGAAAATCCTGCTGAGGGTGCCTTTGGGACAATCTGGGGGCTCTGTTTGACACCCGCCCTTCATTGGGTGGGTGTTAATGCCTCCTGGAGGGGGTGTCCCCTCTGGGACCAGGCAGCTGGTGATGGAACCTCCTACCCTGGCCCTTGGAGCTTGGCATGGCCATGCTGCAGTCCCCAGATTCCTGAGGGGGGAGCCCACCTGTGTGCCCCAACTTGTGTTGCTGGTGGCAGGAGGAGGGGATGGGACACCCCGTGTGCCCAGTTGTGCTGGGTTTGCCAGGGACAGGGTGTGGGCTCAGTGCCAGGCCAGAGCCTTGCACGGGTTTATTCTTGTTCAGGGCAATGGGCAACTCTTGGTTTCAAATTTAGGAGCACAAATGTTTGAGAGAAGGAAACTGAGGTATTAGTGCACACACTTGTGCCATAACTGCCATAATTGTGGATGTGCTTCCTCAGCCCTCCTGCTCCACACAGATTTCTCTTTACTAAGCAGATTGTGAATCCTGTTCCTGTTGTCCAAGTGGAGTGAAACCTGTTCTAAATAACCCCGTGGGAGAATATTTCAGTTGTGATTTTTTTATTTTCTTTTGGTGATGAGCTTTGCC